CGGAGCCAGGCGCTCCCCCGGGGGTGGGCGCGCGGGGCCTCGCGCGGGGAGGTGAGGACGCCCCCGAGCCCGGCCTGGGCGCCCCGCTTTAGGTCCCCTGGGTTGGACGTGTGCTGAAAAACTCGCACACTGACTCCGAACCCTCTCCTCCCCGCCCGCGCTGATCTAGACGGTGTTTCCCCCCTGGACCTGTCGCTCGGCCCGCTCCCCCCGGGTTAGCTGCCTCCCAGACGCTCCTAAATGGCCAGATCCTTAGTGAACAGTCGTCCCGCCCAAGGCTAGTTGTTTTAGCCCCTCTCTCCTGCAAGAGGCTCACAGCGACATCTTTAAGCCTTCCTCGTTTTATTGTTGTTCTGCCAACTTGAACTTGACCAAGCGGCAGACATCGGTTCCTAAATATCAGTACGTGGGCGTGCTTGTGGTATTGGAGGCACCCGCGGAGCCCGACCCCAGCCCGCATGGCTGATGAAGGCTGGCGCAGGGCCAGGGAGCGCGCCTGGTGGCACAGCCTCCGGCTCGTGCAGTGCTCCTAATCCCTTGATCCTGAGCCGGCCCTGGATTCTTGGCTTGTGTGTGTGTGTGTGTGTGTGTGTATTTTTGTTTAAAATATTACAGATGTCCCTTTTTCACCCCAATGACCCACTCCACCCCTTTCCATCCCCTCCCCAGTCCCTCTCCACACCATTGTCCCTGTCCTTGGGCTGTGCATATATACCTATGAATTCTCTGGTTACTCTCTCCCCTTCCACCCCCCCATCCCTCTGACATTCGTCAGTCTGATCCATGCTTCCATGTCATTGGATTTATTCTGTTCGTCAGTTTATTAAGTTCTTTAGATTCCACATGAAAGCGAGATAATGTGATGTTTGTCTTTCTCTGCCTGGCTTTTTTCGCTTAGCATAATCTCCAGGTCCATCTATGCTGTCCTAAAGGGTAGGAGATCCTTCTTCTTTACAGCTGCGTAGTATTCCATGGGGGTAAATGTCCCACAGCTTTTTTATCCACTCATCTACTGATGGGCACTTGGGCTGTTTCCAGGTCTTAGCTATTGTAAACTGTGCTGCTATGAACATAGGGGTGCATATATTCTTTCTGATTAGTGTTTCAGGATTCATAGGATATATTCCTAGAAGTGGCATCACTGGGTCAAAAGGCATCTCCATTTTTAATTTTTTGAGAAACCTCTNCATCACTGGGTCAACCTCCATACTGTTTGAGGAACCTCCATACTGTTTTCCACAGTGGCTGCGCCCATCTGCATTCCCAGCAGCAGTGCGCTAGGGGAGGCTCCCCTTTCTTCACAGCCTTGCCAGCAGAAGTCGTTTGTTGATTTGTTGATGGCAGCCATTCTGACAGTTGTGAAATGATACCTCATTGCATTTTTAATTTGCATCTCTCTGGTGATTAGCAACGTTGAGCATTTTCTCATATGTCTCTTGGCCATCTGTATGTCCTCTTTGGAGAAGTGTATATTCAGGTCCTTTGCCCATTTTTTAATTGGGTTGTTTGTCCTCCTCTTGCTGAGTAGTATGAGTTCTTTGTACACTTTGGATTGGCTTTTGTCTTTTAATACTGCCTTTTACAAAACCCTAGTGTCTCTAAGTGCTCCTCCCCAAATTCTTAGGGTCTCCATTTACGGGCTGTAGTTTTCCTAAGCACCTCCAGGTTTGGTTAAATTATAAACATAGCCTGCCAGCCTAACCTTGGTGATTTCTATAGGGTGTCCCGAAAAGATGTATAAATACACTTTGAGTAATTATAAAGGCAGTGTTTATTAAAATACATTTCATTTTCAGAATTGAGCTATCAGCTGTTAAAGTATATATACATTTTGGGGGGACACCCTTGCTAAGCACAGAAGACCTCATGTTCAGTCACAAGCATAAAAATAGGAAACTTATGGAGTGAAATGTAGACCTGAATTTAGGAATTTGAGTGTATTCAAATATAATTGGTATCTCTCCTGTGCCAAGATAGGAGCCTCCAGGTGCCCTCTAACAGGAAACTTCTCTCCCTGGAGTTAGGCTCACATAAAGCTTATGATTGCTGAGCAGAACAGCCTACTGATTTACCCTCTGGCCCTGTTCTCCTGCCCTCCTAACTTGGTATGTAAATTCGAGGAAAGAATCCATTATTTTCTGGTTGTTGACTTTCCAGTTGATATGCAACAGTGTGCTTTTGTCTGGGCTGCCAGTCACCACTTCCCTTTTCTAGTGACAGCTACAAACCACTAAGATAGAAAGTTTAAGAAATGAGAGGACAGAGCTTGCCATCTTCCTACAGAACTGGCTGCCCAAGCCATACAGCTGCCTTGCTCCCAGCAAAGAACAATGCTGTGATTCCAAGGCCAAGAAATAACGCACAGCTTACACAAAAGAGGGCAGAGAACTGGGAGTGCAGATCTGGATTCATACCTCAGCTCCGCCAATTATTAGTTGTAGGAATTTGGACAAGTCTCTGTTTCTCTGAATGTCATTGCCCTCATCTCAATTTGAGTAATTTAAGATGCCCACAGCATGTGCTCAGGAAATTGTTACTCCTTTATTCTATCTCCGTTTCCTGGTAGCAGAAGTTATTCAGGTGAACGAAAATCATTCACCCTCCCCATCTTTCTTGCAGAATTACAAAACAATAAGTTTTAACTTCAGTGATTGTTTGTATTTAAAGCAATATTGATCTGTAGACCAATTTTTTTGGGGGGAGGACCCTTAGCTTTAATGTTTTACATCACAAATTCTGACTTTTTTACTATAAAAAATTTATGGTTCCATTCAATCAACTATGTTGACTGTGTCGCAGTGACACATGTGTCTTGCAGACATTCTCTAAGAGCTCCAAGGGCAGATATCCCATACTGCCTCACTTACTGCCTTTCGCAGGTTGCACTATGGCCCTCTTGGGATCTAAGATGAGCACCCCATTTGAATGGATGCATTTTAGTAGGTGAGGGAAAGGATGCCAAGCCCCGGCCCTAAGCTCTCAGCTTCTAAATGTAAGTCAAATTCCCAGTCAAATTTTAACACATTGTGAGGACAGACTCTAAATGACCTAACACTGAACATCTAACCCCAAGTCAAGAACCTATTCTATACCTGGAAATAGAAAACAAAGCAAGAGGATGAGAGAGAAAAAACGTATTCACAAAACTTCATATTAACTTAATTTCCTACTCTTAAAGTCTCGTTTGATTTCACTTTCCTTGTGGGTCTTTCCATTGGTTTTAGTAACACTGAAAGGAACCTGAACTTTCTACTGTAGACGAGATTGCACTGTGCTCTCTCTCAGGGGAAATAGCTTGCTGCCACTTTATCCACTTATACCCAGGAAAGTAGCCTTTTCTCCTTCAGAAGATGACTGTAAATCAAATTTAGCATTTTTAAGATTCTTATTGTTTAAAATCAGCAAATTATGTACATTAAAAATCATATCCATTACCCATGTTTCTCCTCTTCAGTACAGCCTGTGTTCATTTTCTATTGCTGCTGTAATGGCTCCTGAGACACTGAGGCTGTCAGTCCAACAACCCATGAGGAAATGAATCATGCCAACACTCACACAAGTTAGCTTGGCCTCAGACCCACCCTAGCGGAGCCTCAGAATGTCTGTGCAAGACCCGGAGTAGAGGGCACGGCTAAGCTGCACCCAGATTTCTGACCTGCAGATACTGTAAGGTAATAAACATTGTGTTCTAAGCCAATGAGTTCTGGGGTAGTCTATATGTAGTGCCTGATAACTAATACATACCATAGATGGCTTGATTAAGTCTGGGCTGTAAGGAAAGGCTTGCTGGTGCTGGTGTAGGCTCAGGGAGGCACCTGCTCTGCGTGCATGCCTCCTCTCTTGCCCCATAATGTAAGTCTCTGTGTACTTGGCACAGGGACTGTGTGTCTTGCTGGTGTGCCCATGAGGAGGGAGCTGAACAGTGCCACTTCCCTCTCCCAGATGCCTGGAGCCACCGCAGTACCTCCCTGCCTGGTTAGAATGCCCTCTCTTCAAGACTTGGGAAGTAAAAATAATATTACCCCTCTGGAAAAAACTTCATCAAAGGAATCTCTGCCCAACTAAATGTTACTTGCTCCTTAAAAGACAGAAACAAGGAACTTGATCTTTGAGGACAGAGTGGAAGAATCTAGTCCTGTGGCCAGAACAGGGCATTCTGAGAACAGGAAGGCTTGACTTTCCACTCACGGTCTAAAGCAGTGGTCTCCAAACAAACAAGAGAATCCAGTGGGATGAGGGAGAAAATACTATTTTATTTAGAAAAACACGAAATAAGCTTTGCCAATATCCACTCTACATACTGACCCTGGGATCCTCTTAGTCCATGTGGACCAGCCACACGTCAGGTCAGCTTTGAAGGAATAGTCTGCAGATGGGCCAAGCACAGAGGGGCAGGCAGTGGCCACCACCCCTTAGTTCACTGGGTGCTACTGCAGGTTTCAAGCCCTGGTTTAAGAGGTTATACAGATTATACTACTACATATTAATATCAACGGAAATTAGCCCTGGACAAATGGACAAGGGCCTGAACATTGCTGAGACCACAGTGTGAATACTAATATGCAAGCACAGGAGATCTTTAAGATGAGGGCAGAGCTGATTCTGCTCCTGTTCCTAATGTATCAGCCACATTAATCATTGCTTTTCTTTTTTCACCTTGTAATAAAATTTAGTTAAGTCAGCAAAAAATATTTAAAAGTTTGAAGAAGATAATTTGAAGTACAGTGAAATTTGCCCTGAGTACATATTGTGCCTCCAGATGTTTGTTAGTGGTGGCATCATTTATAAATAAGTTATATATGTATGTCTAGTTAAATATATTCAACTTTTTACCAATAAGGGTACATAACAAATTGGAAGCCATGAGTCTATAGGATTCTGTGACATTTTCTAACCTAATTATCAGAGTCCAGGAGGACCCACCTGACAAGGAAGCACAGAGGGGTGAGGGGTAAGAGGAGAAGAGAGAAAAGGAAGAAAACAAAATAACTAAGTTTATTCGCCCTCCACAGAACCTCTTCCCTGAATTAGTCTCCCACCAGGCCCAGCTCCTGTGACTGAATGGATAACGCCCTTCCCTCCCTTTACTTCCCCAAATAACCCAAAGCTGTTTAAACAGATGCCTGCAGCCACATCAAAGAGAAAAGCAAAGTCCTGCCCTCCACACATCCCAATCTATAAATGTTCAAGCGGCCCCAGGAGGCTGTTGGGAGTGGTCTTTGGTTCTGACACGAGGCCCGCTGCACACCCACTGCCACCATCAGGGGGAAGACACTAGACCTTTCAGCAGGAAGGGCTTGGCTGCCTCCAGAATGTCCAGTTTGGGGTCCAGCGAGCGGCCGAGCCCCTCTAGCACCATGATGGCAAACACAATGGAGGCGAAGTTGCTCTCAAGCTTTACCTACAACAGAAAATAAGTGGTTCTTTCCAAAGCCCATTGATATAGAGAGTTCTGGAGAGCCATGTTGATCTGTTCTCAGCCTCTTGCACCCACCCCTGTGATTTTTTACTGTCCACCTAACATTCTTTTCCCTACCCCATCACTTTTCCCCACCATCTCATCTACTCACCCAACCTCCCGTCTACTAGTATTACTAAGAAAAAATCGGGGGGATGTGGTATGTACTTCTCTAGAGGTGTGTGTGTGTTCAGATATAGCACATATATATGACTTAAAAATAATAAAATTAGTATCTCTGAGATATACCAGACACTATAAATCTAAATAAGGGTCATTCTTCTAACCAGCCAACTTTCTAACTCTTGATTCTATGTTATGGCCCTTGCCAATTGGCTGCGTTTTCCATGCAGTAGGTATTTCATTATCAGATTGCAGAAACAATGGGAAAGGCCATCTTCAGACAAGAATGTTCCCTCCTCTTCCCTCAACTCCTTATACCCTTGGCTGGCAGCTTTACTTTGAAGAATAGTCCAAGACCACACTCCATCACAAGGAGATGGACAAAGGCCAGGGTGAAGAACTCTGAGGCCACCTCCCTCCAAGGGACAGGGACAGTAGGCACAGGCCAGGGCAGCCGTGACAGGGCCTCTGAACACACCAGGACATGAGGTACCTCCTCTTGGACCACCCCTAATCCCAAGACACTACACCACACAGGAAAGAACTAAGTATGAGTTAAGTTAATACCAAGTATCGTTAATGTGAACTGAGGAGGGAAGGGGCATGAGAACTTTAGTTAGATGGTTTTACATCTATAAATCCATTTTCTCCAGCTCAGTATCACAGATACTAGATAGCACAGACTGAGAGACACAGACCAACAGTGTGACAAAGGAAGGACCTGCTGTACCTAGTTAGTACACAGAAACAGAACTCTCCATGCTAATGAATCGGTGCAAAAAATGTTTTCAAAACCGAGATCTCATATGAGGGAAGTATCTCTCAGCCCCCTTTGGCCAGCCACCCGCCTCCCCAGAGACCTCCCCTCCAGCCTGACCAGAGAGCAGAGGGCTCAGCTCTGCCAGGGCCTCACCTTGTGAGTCATCAGTAACTTAAAGACGTTCGACAGAAGACTGGAAACTTGGAGCTGGAAAAGAGAATAAAGCTGATGGCAGAGAGTGCCAATCCTCCCAAAACCACTTCTCTCCCTGTGCAGTGCCCCCGTCCCGCCCCCATACCCTCTCTCTCTCTCACGCACACACACACACACCAGTGAGTGGAAAGGGGCGAACTCCAGAAGGACTGCACACACAAGCCCAGCTCCCAGCTTGAGCATGAGGAGCATGAGTTGAAAGACTCCTCCCAGGAAGAGGCTCCCCCCTCTGTCTCCCCGCAGCACACACAAAAACCACATCTGAGCAAGGACATCCGGCAGTGCCTGGGTGCCAGCTGCTGCTCGCTCTGGCTCGATACTGCTAGTGTAGACCATGAACTTGGGGGGGAAACAGGTTTGCTAGAACTGAGTGCAAAATACAGAGTGGACTCTGGCTCAGGTCTAAGTAAATGGTATGCACATTAGGTACGTCCTTCGGCTGCTCAGAGACCTTTGTCATCCCTCCCTCCAAGCTCGGCTGAGCTGGAGATACAGAGGAAGCTGCAGAACAGCTACCCCCCAGGCAGGAAGGGGTCCCACACTATAAACGTCATACCCAGCCACCCTGAGAACCTGGCCAAGGAGCCACTCTTGCGAGCCAGAGATTTCAGTGGGCCTCACACCTGGGAGATGTGGGCAGAGGAAGGTTTGTTCTTTATCTGTCTTAAAACTCAAACCCCCTCCAGACTTCTCCCCATTAAAAGATCTCCCTTCCACTTGGGGTTCTGTCCAAGGGCAAGGGCAGGCCTCAGACCCCTCCCCCTCGAGTGGCCTGCTCACCTTCTCCAGGGTGATGGTGTCCTTCCTGGCCTGTGTCACCAGTGTGGCCATCTCTGCCTTGAACCGCTCCACGTCCTTGCACTCACTGGCCCGAGCATGATGCAGGATGAGCTCAGCCACTCTTTGGCCCTGGAAGATGCAAAAGGAAAGAAACTTGGTAGAGCTGGGAGGGTACAAAACTATATGCTCTGCCCAACTTCTCCATATCCTAGTTGTTTCCACCTAATTCTTCTACTGTCCTGCCTTTGGCCACTGCTGACCAACCAGCCTGGCCTCAGAACCACCGGGCTGGACCAGCCATGCTGTCCTCGTGGGCTCCCTTCCTGCCCCAGCAGAATTCCCTCCTCATGGCTGGCCCAGCCTCTGTGCTGCAGCCTTCTCGCTCCTCCCCTGCCCAGGACACCCCATGACCAGAGCCTCCATGGTCTCTCCAAACACCCACCTGCCTGGTGGTCACTGCTAATGTCTTTCATCTCCCACAGCACCACCCCCGGAGCCAAGCTCTCCCTCCTGGGGCTGTGACCTTCTTCTGCCCAAACCTGCACAAGGGAACATGCCCCACCCTACCTGCCACTGAGGCCCAGGCTCAACCTCTGTTTGCCCCCTCTGAAGCCTCCTACACAGGAGCCAGCCTTCCTAGTGCCCACCCCTGCACTTGCTGAAGAAAGAAGAGAAACTACCATACAAACTACCACGACTACACACCGCCATTTGGGAAGGAGGCATTTCTTCCCATCCCAAACCATAAGCTGCTTGGAACTGGCCTCAGTCACAGCACCAGCACATTCTGATTAAAGACCCATGACGTTTCTGTCAGGAGCACCCTTGGCAAACATGGACATTTACCAGAATGACAAAGGCTGAGGAGCCCTAAGAGATTTGGGCCCAACTCCCAAGGGCCAATGGGTCTCACCTGTCCCATCGCCACAGCCATGAAAACTGCCCGGAAGTTCCTCAGATCAACGGCCTGCAGCTCGGCCACGATGCCAGCATCCAGGAGTACCAAGCGCAGTGGGCACCGGGCGGGCGTCACGGACACCACCAGCGTGTCACAAATATCCACCTGCTGCAGCCGAGCCTCTTGGCTATTGGAAAGACCGTCGGCCCCCTGGACCAGGATGTTCCCAGGGTGAAGGTCTGCATGGACAAAGTTGTCCACAAATATCTGGAAAGAGATGAGCACTATTCAAGGCTAAGTCAACCCTCATGAAAACTCGAAGAACATACTGCATTTCAAAACACTTATTTTTACTCTGTGGTTCAAGCAATTAATGTTCAAATTAAAATAATTATCTGCTCATTGTTTAAAGATTTTCCCCAAACCTCTCTGCTCATAAAATTCATGGAACTTCCTTTCTTTCAAATATTTCATAAATCAGATTTCCTCTCCATTACCTCGATCTGTCTACACAGTGACATCTAACAGCAATACTGACAACCGCCTACTGGCACACAGTATCAGGTAGTCAGGGAGAAATGTCTTTGAACCTGCTAAGCAGGAAAGAAAGCCCCAGAGACTGTGATAGACAGGAAGTCAGGTGTGACTGTGGAACAGAAATCTGTCTCCCATGAAAGATCATCTCAGTGGTCTTAGCAGTTTTTCTATAAGGGGTAAAAGAAGAGGCCCAGTGCAGAGGTGCAGAGCAGCTGCTTCTGGAACAGCTCTCAGGGGACTCCTCCTGGCCCACACAGAGCCCATCCTCCTGGACGCAGGCCACAGCGACCCTCCTAGTCCAGATTCTGACTTTGCTGCTACTGCAGTGAAAATCCTGGGAACTGAGGAAACTAGGGCTTGCACCTGACCTTGACCCCAAACCTCCTGGCACCTTGCTGTCAGCTCATCCCCTCAGGGCCTATGCCCCCATCCTTGATCCCAGGAGCTGGAAGTCCCCCATGAAACCCTCACTCCTGGGTGCTGCTTACTGCTGCTTTTACCCTGGCTACTCCCCACTGCACCCTCCCATCTTACCACAGTGCCCCTTGGAGCTGTTACTGGGGACAAAGTCCTCTGTCCACTGAGCTTCCACTGCACTGACAAGTGGAAACCTGGTTCTCCCATAACAACCTCACTTCTCCAGGAGCTCCTTGGGTGGGAAATGCTGACCCTCACACCCATGGACCCTGGGGCTGGAGGTGGCGTCAGGGCACCCAGCCCTGAGCCCTCTCCGCAGGAGTGCTTACAGCTTCCACCATGGTGTCAACTTGTACCACCCCACCATCCTGCTCGCCTGCCCCTCATGGCTCCATCTTGGTCACATCAGTTTTCCTCCCGCTCTCAGACCACACACCTGGTTCCTTCTTGCCCCGACTCTGTACCCTCCACACCTGGGCACTCGTCCTGCCTATCCAGCCTAGACCCTGCCATCCGTCCCTCAAACACTCCCTTCTATGCCAGCCACTGAGAAGACCTCAGACGCTGGACAGTGATCAGTATCTTCTTTCTTTGCTCCTGCCCGTGAGCTGCTATCAACGCTGGGTCGCTACTACTACTAATGATGATGCTGGTAACTGACATCGCTGAGGCCGCTACGTCCTCCCCTGAATGTCAGCTATCCAGTCACTGGCCGTCCCCTCGTCCTTCACATTCCAGCTGAGGTGGAGCCACTTCCTGAATAGAGCCCTGGGCAGGACAGGCTCATCTTTTAAAATATATATATATTTCAGAGAGAGGAAGGGAGAGGGAGAGAGATAGAAACATCAACGATGAGAGAGAGTCATTGATCCGCTGCCTACTACAGGCCCCTGCTGGGGATCAAGCCCCCAACCCGGGCATGTACCCTGACTGGGAATCGAACCTCGATCTCCTGGATCATAGACGCTGAGCCATGCCAGCTGGGCAGGACAGGCCCCTCTTAAATGGCCCTTGGTGCCAGGACTTACCCTATATATAATGTATTTCTTCATGGACAGACTTCCTACTAAACGGTAGTTCTGTGAACATTGTGATCAGGTCTATTTTGCTCACTACTATAAAGCAGTATTGCCTGGCACGTAGCAAATGCTCAATAAATACTTGCTGAATGAATGAATGAAGTAGCATATAACATGATATTGTCTTGGACTATTTGTAGGCAACTTGGACAGGGCCTGGGTCTTGGTCCCTGCCCTTCCCACAGCACCTTGCATGGTGACAGCCAGCAAGCCGCTGAGATAGTGCCTAACAGAGCAGTCAATGAGCAAGTGTGTTGGTAGGCTCGGCTGTTTCTAGAGCACACTCTACACTGGGCTTGCCCTCCACCCAGGGTAGCCAAGCAGTGTCCCTGCCCTTTCCCCAGATGCAAGTCAGCCCCAGGCTTGCCTGAGCACCCTCTCCCAGCCATGAGCTCACCATCTTCAGGAGCATGTTGATCCCCAGCCGAGCAATCTTCCTCTTCAAGTCAGCAGGAATCCCTGCCTGCTGGTAACTGGACACAGGCACGCTCTCCTTGAAAATCAGGGAGGGAACAGCTTTAACCGGGACAGTCCTGCTCCTCACCCTCTCAGAACACATGGTGTCGCCTTCCCAACGATTACAAAGTGACCCAAAGAGTTTTTCCTTTCTTAGAACCCCTATGAGTCAGTCACCCACAAGTCCACTTTAACCTATTTACGTTTCTCTTCCATGACACTTCTCAAAGGAAAAACAAGCCCCATAGGCTTATTAGAGGAAACCCACTGACTCTGCCACCCACAGGTAAGAATGTCACAACCTGGTGGGAAGAGACAGGAACAGGACCAGGGGAGCTAGTTTCTGGTCAAGAACCAGCCAATAGAGACATGAATAAGTTCTGTAACCTTGAACAAGAAAATGGGAAAAGGGAAAAGAGAAGAAAGGGGAGCTAGTAAATATGCATTTCATATAGATTAGTTATTTAATTGTCAGAGCAGCCCACCGAGATAGGTCTGGTTATCGCTAATTAACCAATAAAAGAACTAAGGCCCAGAGAGGTTAAGTAACTTGCTCAAGGCCACACAGCTAGTAACTGGCAGGTGGCATCACTTCCCTGGATCTCATATTACCATCGTTACAATGGAGGCTGGACCAGGAGACAGCTAAGGCCAATGACGTGACACAAACACTTGATGAGCACTCTCCCTGCAAACTCTGGCTGAGGGCATTGTGCATTCAGTGTGTCACTGACTCCTGGGAGAACTCCATGAGGCAGGAGCAGTGGGCTGCTGTCATACATGAGGAGACTGAAGTCACCAAGCAAATAAAGTGGCAGAGCAAATTTTCAAACCCAGCAAGTCTGAGGCCGCATCCAGGTTCCCAGCCACCTCACTATGCCACCGCCCACTCTCGTGTCATGTCCGAACTCCTCTCTCGTGTAATCACGCTCTCTCGGCTCTTGTCTTTGCAGACCAAAGCCTTCCGGTGAAGCAGAGATGCACTGCTGTGAGTGAAAGGCACAGCCAGGTAAGTTCTAATTCTTACTTCGTATGTTTCCACCAAGACATCGCTGGTGACAAAGGGATGCAGCGGGGTGGGGAATCGAACAGACTTCACGTCCAGGAAGTTGCACTGGAAGTGCTCCAGATTCCGCGCTTCGTAGCGCAGGTCTATCTACAGGACACGGAGAGAAAAGATGAGGGGGTGGTTGGGGCACAGGGATGGCAGCATCTGTACTGCCAAAGAGCTAGCAAGTCACGAGAGTCACCTGCTTCTCCTGCTTCTCCCACACAGCTCCCCAGGGGACCCGGGAGGCATTCTGTGACTAAAGGCCTCCCCTAAAGCCCTGAGCCTCCTTGAATCTCCTCCTGAACTCCTCTAAGCTCGGGCAGCAGACACCCTTGCAGTTCCTGGGCTTTGCTGCTTCTCCGCTCTTCCTTCTCTGCCCACCTTCACACCAGCCAGAGGACCCCTTCCCCATCTCCCAGGGGCTCAGCTTTGTGGCCTCTCCCCACCACTGCCCTCACTAGCTCCCCACCCAGCCCTTTCCCTTGACCAGTGCTCACTTCCACCCACTCTGCCCTCCACCCCACTGCACTGACTGCTCTCCCCAAACTCACTCAGCCTTTCACCTGCCAGACTCAAAGGCCCAGTTCCATTTTTGTCCTAATTAACTCTGTGACATCATTCTTCCTGAACCGCTCTTCTCTTCACTCTCCCAGCTTCCACCCCTGCTTCTCAACTGCCCTGTCTGGGACTGGTCTCCAGGCCATTCCTCCTCAGGTGTCCAGATGCTGGTCTCTCAGCTCCTGACCTTCACCAGCTTTGCTCTCCTCTCCATGCCCTCACGTCTTCATCTAGTGCCTCCTGATGACAGAACCTTGACCTCCAGTCCAGCGCCCCCTACCACTACTAAACATGATTTACTTTCACACACACCCATGTGTACCCAGTCACCCGAGAGTCACTGCAGATTACTTCTCCTACCCTCCATCCCTTCAGTGCTCAGTACCATCAGCTCTGCAGCCCTGACCACTCTTGGATCTATTCTCCCTTCCCACCCCTGCCACTCCCATGTGACTCACAAGAGGCCACCTGACCCTAATAGAGGCATCTGAGTTGGGCTCCCTGACCCCCCACCTCCCCTCTCTGGAAGATGACCCTCTCCATCTGCTGGTGTCCCCTACTACCTGCAGAATGAAGTCTTAATTCTTTAGGATGACATCCAAGGCGGGTTGGTCATGGTTTGGCCCCCACTTCTCTCTTCAGGTCCATCTCTTGTGCCTCCCCCTTCCTCTACTGCCCAAAACTCTAGCTTCACCCAATGGATATAGTGCTGAATACCTCAGCCTGCCTGATCTACCACCCTCCTTCGCGTTCCTTATTCCCTCTGATTGGAATGGTTTTCCCCAATTTGGTCCAACTGTAAATACCACACACCTCTCCGGACCCAACTCAAGCCAAGGGAGCTTTGACCCTCAGGATGGAATGACCACTTCCTCTCTTGAGCCCCAACTGAACCCAACTGAACCTGTAGAGACTCCTACTATACCTCTGAGCAAACTCCATTTGCAAGTATTTATATGTGAGCCCCCTCTGCCTACAATATATTCCTATGGACAGGAAAAGCTCACTCGTTTTCTTAGTTTATCAGCTTCTAACAGACTCCCACACAGACATCCAGACTGTAAGGTTTCAAGCCTGGGAATGTAATAGGACTACTGAGATACCATTAGTAGGCAAAATGTGGTGAGATAGAGAGATTTGAACTTAATCTGATGGGACCCCATGATGTCTATCAGACTTTCTCGAAGGGAAACTGAAGCTCAGAAGGGTGGTAGAACTGAGAGTCATTAATGCAGAGATGATTATTGGAATAGAAGCTATTTTCTGTCTTAATTTTATTATCAAGGCTACACTACTCCATAGCATAAAGTAAAGATTTCTAAACACTAAAACACATTCCTTGGACTTAAAACCTTCTTTCCAAGGACCTAAATGAAGACTTGGCACACTGCTTCTGAAAGTCTGCCGATTTCTGCACTACCAACAGGGAGCCAGGGTGGATGCCAACTTGGAGCCCTGATGGCCCCCAAAGTGTATTTACCAAGCCTGCCCCCCTTCCCTCCTTACACAGATGTCCCAAGGTCCTAGACAGGGAGGAGGACCTTATCTACTCAAAAGCCCTGGAAACAAAGGCACTTAGAGATGACGTTGTGTGTTCCACCAGAATGATTTCACTTCCCTCCCAGACAATGAGGAGGGCTGTTTCCCAAGCACCCTTGCAGGGCTGGCATGATTAAAGCTGACCTTACACGAGGAAGAAGTGATGTTCATCACTTCTAGGCCTGGCCACAAAATCTCTCACATGGTCCTCTATGGTTTTTCTCCCAATTCCACACTGACCCTACATGACACATGTTGAAGATGGCAGTGCCAAACTTGGGAGGAAATTGGGTCCCTGAATAACTGTGGTGTAGAGCTTCCTCTCTCTCCTTCAGTTCACCTGCATGGAACTTTGATATAAGCAATAACATTGTTGCATTAAGCTACTGAGATTTGGGTGTTCTTTGTTATATCAACTATTGTTACCTACTCTGACTAACATACCGCACTAGCCATGACCCACTGGGAAATTAAGCATTAGCACTCACTAAACAGCTGCTAATGGCAAGAACTCTCTTAGATGCTATTTATAACTGAGGGAAGTAAAATTCACCTGTTGAACCATGAGCTTCTCAAATTCCTCCACTATCTCAGGCAAGCTAAGCCACTTGATTCCTGGCAAAAGTTCAAGGAATCGGCTGCCCATCTTCATCAGCAGCAGGTCCATTTGCACCTGAGAGAGCAGGCCAGGATGCAATACCTGCCAGAAAGAGCAGTGAGACAGAGGAGGGATCAGGAAGGCACATTCACTCAGCCAGGGCTGGGTCCTACCATCAAAGGAGAGCCAGCTGGCTTCTCATCAGAGCAAAGGGGAAGTGGTCCCAACACCCAGGATGCTCTTGCCTCCCTCACTCCCATGTGCCTTCCCTGAGGAGATGCTGAAGCAGCTCCTCTGCACTGCACTTAGCTTTCCTGGGAAGAATAAGTGGGCTTTTTCTTCCCAAATATATTTAGTTTAGATCAGTGGCTCCCAGAGTACATAAGAGGCACCCTGGAGTGCTTGGTGAAAATGTGGGAGGGTTTTCCCCAGGAAGTAAAGGAGAGCATCAGGGTACCTGCCACTTGTGTCTGCCAGTCCCCCTGGAATGGGGATGGAAAAGTGTGGAGTCAAGAAATGATGGAGCCCAGGCAGGTGACAGGAAACGAAGCAAGAAGTTAGCCACTTCTGCAAAAACGAACACTGCCCTCTTGGGCTCGCCACGGCACATCTCACCTAGTCTGTCTCCGATTTATCCTGACCAAGAGTAGTGGGTCAGTTGGACGGTGGTTCTCCCGCCCATAGAGGCAGCGTCTCCAAACCCTCTCCATTTCCCTTTATAAGGCTATTCCCACCACCTCTGCCTCAGCCAAGAAATCAAAGAGCTTGCATATCATACACACTCATAATGGCCAAGCTAATGGAAGTCAGTGGGAGGCAATATAGGGTGACTTGCAAAGGAGGGGTTCCTGATCAAGGACAGCTCCGTGGGTTCTAGAGGTGGGAAGACGTCAGAGCACTTACTTTCACTGCCACAGGGATGAGGTGATGTGGTTCAGGTAGGTGGGCAGGTGCCAGCGCCTGGGATACGACTGCGTCTGATCCATCCAGGTCAGCTTTAGGAAGAAGCAGCCTTTCTAGCAATGACTGGTCAGCAAGACTTCCTTGAGACCTCCGCCCCTCCCCCAGGTGTCCAAAGAGCTCTCTCAGGCCCCCAGCTGCCCTGTTCTCTGAACGAGGCTGCAGCCCAGAGGCGGCAAGCCTCTGCCTGCTGTCACTCTCCAGGAAGGCAGGATTGGCACGCGCTTTGTACACCTGGGCCACACAGCCCGAGCCCACTGGTTCCCGCTTCTCAAAGCAGAGGACCTTCCCCCAGTTCTCCCCAAACGCCTGCTGCAGGGCGTGTTCAGTGTGAGTCCAAGGGTGCGGGGTCACATGGACGTGCAGATTGGAGAACTGGGCACAGAAAGCCTCCGAGAAGAGATCTCGCCGGGTGCTGGCCCACTGGCCCAGTTTGATGTACGTTGGGCCTGAGGTCTCCGTGGCTTTCAGAAGCAGGTGGAGCCAGAGGCTGGAGATGCTGGGAGCCAGGTAGGTGAGAGGGTAGAGTAAAAGGAGGGGGAAGAACTTCACCAAGAGAGCCCCAGCCCGGAGCCCGATCCGGAGGTGCAGAAGGAGGCAGCCTAGGGGCCCCTCTCCGGAGACTCTCTCCAGGGGCCCATTTTCAGCCAGGTCACTCCAGCTGGCCCTTCGCTGACACAAGTTCTCAGGGGCCCCCTCACCAGTGTCCCCATAGACTGAGAGGAGTTTGGGCAAAGTGCCAAAGAGCAGCCAACAGAGTCTGGACTTTTGAGGGTATCGAGAGAGCCTTAAAAGACGGAGTCCCTTTCTGAGCTCAAAACCTCTAAGGTGCCAGGAGCAGACTCTGACAGAGAAGCGCCAGGGAGTCCCCATCCTTCCCGGAGTTCCACAGCCCAGGCTGCCGCCCTAAAGGTAAAGGGCACCCACCTATCTGTGTTCAGGCTTCTGGCCAGGCTGACATGAGTCCAGGACCACAGCTGAGTATTCCACTTAAAAGTGGGGCAGCCGCCTGATCCCACGAAACTCATGTGTAACCTAAGCCCAGCCCTGTGCCGAGTCCTGCCCTGCCAGGCCGCACCACCTCTTAGGTCACCCTGCCCTGCCCCGCCTTGGCCGCAGGAGGGCAGGGCGCAGAGGTCCCTCCCTGCCTCCCTCCGGGTACCCGGCCTTAGGCCAAGGTCCGGGGCTGCCGGGGGCCTACGCCCGAGGGGGGCTGCGCCTGGGGGGCTTTCAGAACAACCCACTGTGAGAAGCGCAGGGGGCCGGCCGG